GGACGTCTCCGTCGGAGACCCATCGCATGCTAGCTGTCGGCCAGGACATCTTCTACGTCTGCAAGAAGGCTCTCGAGAGCCTGAAAGCGAAGCTCAAGGCTCGGGACGGTCGAAATGGGTACGGAAATGATGGGTACGATGCCCAACCGCATTTTCTTTCCGTTCTGAACAGGACTCGCTGTCCGCGCCGCCGCGGGCGGACGTTATTCTTTCAAGGCAAACTGCCGCCTGCTCAACGACGGCCGTTGTCGGTTTCGGACAACATGTGTTGTTGGGCACTGTACGCATCTTTCCCGTCCCCATTTCGGGCGTCCAAAGGCAGGGGAGGAAGTGTCTCAGGACCTCGTGAACGAGCTCACGTTCCCAGAGAAGCTGGCAGACGACGAGGCAGGGGCGTGCGGGGCAGCGACTCGTATTTGAAGAAATACAGCAATCGCAAGACATCACGACCAGAGCTCTTGACCGCATCTTTTGGCGGCAGTTTTCGAGCTGGATCGATCAGCAATGCGAACCTGGTCGAAGACGCCCGGCGTGAAACGCAGCATCCAGGTCTGCCTTTCGCCGCAGCCCGACCACCGGACCGCCAGACGTCACACGATTCGGCGGTGCACGTGCACTGTTTCGCACGTTCGCGCGCGTGCGCGCGGAGCGCGCTTGCTTCTGGGCCCCTCCCTGTCGGGGGAAGGGACCGCTGTCAGCTCGGCCACCCTGGCCGCTCGTCGGAGTCGCAGGGGCGCCGCGGTGCGGGGCGCGCTGCTGGAGCGACTGCAGTCACCCCCGGGGGCGCGAGGGTAGTCTGGAGTCGGGCATGTCCTTCTACAGGAGGAACATACAAAAATAGTCATACCACAGCCGGGGGAACGATTTCCCGTTTTTTTTTTTTTTGTTGTTTCTCTTGGAACAGTTTTTGGTTATTTTTACCTTTTCCTTCCACCATCCGCCTGCAGAAGGACATGCCCGACCCAGGGGAAAATGGGGAAACCGACATGTACCTGTACCGCTGCTCCTCGGACCTCTCCTGGGGTTCGTTCTCATCACCGTCATCCTCATCCTCGCCCTCTCCGTCCCTGGGCCGCCGCGCCGATGTCGGCATACCCCTCACACGTTCCGCGGCCCCATGGGGAGCTCTGCCCCAGGCCCCAGCGGCAGTGCCCGCATGGGGTCACCCTGCCTGCTTCGGCACGCACCGCGCACGTTTCGTTGCCCCTATGCGGAGCTCCACCGAAGGCCCAAGCCGGCAGCGTCCGCATGGCGTCACCCCGCTCATTCCGACACACACACACACCACACACACTTCGTAGCCTCACAAAGAGCCCCACCGAGGGCCCCAGTGGCGGCGCCAGCATGGCGTCACCCCGACCGTTTATTTCCCACACGCCCCTTCCACGTTTCGCAGCCTCACAAAGAGCCCCACTGAAGGCCATGGCGTCATTCCACACACCACTCACACGTTTCGTGACCCCACAGCGAGCCCCAGCGAATGCCCCAGCGGCATCGCCCGCATGGTGTCACCGGCCCATTTCCACACCCCTCACACGCTTGGGTCCTTCGCCAGGATGTCTGTTTGCAGCGCCGGCTCTCAGGATCTGCTGACTTGGCACCCGTTCGCGCTGCGAGGGGGACGGGCCGTTTCAGCAATCAGGCGCCGTCTCGTGCCGTGTCAGCCGTCTATGTGGGCGCACTTTGGCCCCCAGCCTTGGAATTTGCATAAACACCCACTTCAGGCTCGCGCGTCTCCCTCTCTCTCTCTCTCCCTCTCTCTCTGGAGACGGGGTTCGCAGGCTGAGCCGCCCGACGCCGCAAACACTCCAGATACTCGCGCGTCGAGCTTCACGTCAGAGCTTCTGGAGATTCTGAGCGTGGTCGCCGTTCGGCTCGAGCTGGCCAGGATATATCGACCCTCGAAGCTCTCTCGCGAGATATTCAGCTCATCCAGCAACGATGTCCATGAGAGTTGACGGGGGGAGAGGAAGAGACACGCATAGTCAAAACGCGAGGGAGGCTTGGGAGGCTCCGTGGCGATCTCGAGCCGTCTTGGAGCGGTCTTGGGGCCGCTTGGAGCATCTTGGGCGCCATCTTGAGCCAGCTTGGGGTATCTGAGCCGTCTTGGAGGTCTTCTTGGGCTCTCTAAGGCCGCTCTAGGGACGCTCGGGGGCGTCTTGGGTGCCTCTCGGGTGCCTCTTGGAGCCCTCTTGGGGCCTCTTGGGGCGCTCTTGGAGCCCTCTCGGGGGCCTCTTGGGAGCACTGGAGGGCCTCTTGGGGCCATCTTGGAAGCTGTCGGTCAAACAAGGGGGCGTCCTCGATTTCCCTCCCCCCCTCGTGGGCCACGATCCTCGTGAGGGGTGTCAAACATTGGCCCTCCCAGGGGCCGAAAAAGGAGCCTCCGACACCTCGCCACACCTCCCAGTTAGCCTGGCGAAGCCCAACCATATGCAGTTGTGAATACAGCAAATCTGAACATCGTTTTCGGTGGCGCTACCTATGCGCCTACGGTGGAGCTCCCTATGGGGCCACGAAACGCTGCCCTGGGTGGGGGAACCGCGGGCACCCCCACTGGGGCCTTCGGTGGAGCTCCCCATGGGGCTACGAAACGCTGCCCTGGGTGGGGGAACCGCATGCGGGCACCCCCACTGGGGCCTTCGGTGGAGCTCCCTATGGGGCTACGAAGCGCTGCCCTGGGTGGGGGAACCGCATGCGGGCACCCCCACTGGGGCCTTCGGTGGAGCTCCCTATGGGGCTACGAAGCGATGCCCTGGGTGGGGGAACCGCATGCGGGCACTCCCACTTGGGGCCTACGGTGGAGCTCCCTATGGGGCCACGAAACGCTGCCCTGGGTGGGGGAACCGCATGCGGGCACCAGACTGGGGCCTTCGGTGGAGCTCTCTATGGGGCCACGAAACGCTTCCCTGAGTGAGGGAATCGCATGCGGGCACCCCCACTGGGGCCTTCGGTGGAGCTCCCTAGGGGGCCACGAAACCCGGCCTTGGTGGGGGATCCGCATGGGGCCTTCGGTGGAGCTCCCTATGGGGCCACGAAACGCCGCCCTGGGTGGGGGAATCGCATGCGGGATAGGAGTAGGGATGGGGGAGGATGCGGAGAGCAGAAGCAAGGAAGGGGAGGAAAGAGGAGGGGGGGTGGGGAGGAGTGGGAAGGAGGAGAGGAAGGAAGGAAGGAAGGAACGCGGGGCGCTGTCACTTCAAAACGAGGACCCAACACCACAGGATGGTTGGGGAACAAATCTTAAGGAGGGGAGGGGGAGGGTTCCCCTCCCCGAAGGGAAGAGGGTTTGTGGAAGAGGACAGACACCCTCCTTCGACCACCTGTCGCCCGAAGGGCTGGTGGGATTAGTTGGCTTGCAAGCTCGCAGGAGCCATCTGCGAGCCTAGCAAGCCCAGAGCTGTCCAGCCCTCACGTGAGCCCCAATGCAACTCATTGGCAGAGCCTGCAGATATCTACCAGCGTTGCTTCCAACTAGACAACGTCGAATTGACTGCACGGGCTCCATTGGGCTCCACTGAATCCCTGTGGTCTCCATTGGACTCCAATGAGCCATTGGACTGCATGAAGCTCCATTAGACTCCATTGGACTCCATCGGACTCCATTGGACTCCATTAGGCTTCATTCGACTCCAGTAGACTCCAGTGGACTTCATTCCGCTCCACAGGACTTCACAGACCTCCATGGGACTCCAGTGGACTCCATTGGACTCCAGTGGACTGCATTGGGCTCCATTGGATTTCATAGGGCGACTCCATAGTACGTATTGCACATGGGATTACATGTCACTCCGTTCGAATACCCATACGTAAACTCCGTTGGGCTCCATTGGCCACCGTGGGACCCCATCGGAAAACCCGTACCACTCCATTGGGCTCTAGTGCGCTCCGTTTGTTTGAATGGAGTTCATTGGCTGTCATTGATCTCCAGTGGACCCCATTGCCATACCCAAGGAATCCATTGCCATACCCAAGGGCTTCATTGCCATGCCCAATGAACCCATTCACGTACCCAATTGATTCATTGGCGCACTCCAAGAAAGCATCGTCATACCCGAATCCACTTCCATTTACCTAAGGCGTCCACGTCCATATACCCAAGGAATCCATTAGCATACCCAAGACCGTTCTAGGGCGCGCTTGCGGAAGGGGTCACCTGGACCAGTCTTAGGCGTCTACAGCTTTGGCTGAGCTAAGGTTGATATTGGAAGTTGGTGCCTTCTCGCTGAAGCTCGTGGTGCCGACCCCACTCCCACTCGGTTGGGGTGAGTGGTATGCCGCGCAGGATCCGCGTCAAGCACGAGAGGACCTCTTCCCCTCCCCCCTCCCTCGTCAGCGTAGCAAGCAAACAGCACGTCGCACCCAGAGGGTCCCCTGGTCCCCGCCTCCGCCAGGTCATGGTGCCGGTCGACATGCGCGGTGTCGGGGAGGAGTTCGACGACGTGGAGTCGATGGTGGAGAAGCTCGGCCCGAAGGGGACGGCCGAGGCCTGCGTCTGGGAGGAGAGCTATCGGGCGACGGGAGCTGTGCCCAGACATCTTCGCGTCGTTGAGAAAACACGGCGCAAGGCTTTTGGTCGTTTTCGGTCTCCTGGGGCCCTCGCGGGGCCCCGAGACCGTCAGAAAACGGCACAGGATGAAACACCGGCCCGGGGGAAGGGGTCGAGGCATCATGTGGCCCATGCATTGACGAACATCTCGGCATCGCATGTCTGGGTACGTGTCCGCCGCCGCTTGCCAGCCCCATGTTCGGCCCCGGATCGGTGTGTATGGTTCCCTGGCCAACCCAGGGTGGGCGTATACGTTGAGCTCTGATGTTGAGAGATCATCGCAATGTCGCGAAAAATGGCGACCAGAGGCCGAGACCCCATATTTCGTTACACTTTTCGAGCCAGGTCGCGCAGCGATGGTCCTGGGGCTCGAAGGCGGGCGAAATGAACGTGGTGAAAAAGTGCAACGCCCGCATCTCGGGGTATACACCGCTCTCGGGCCCAGGTTGGGCCTGGCCTGAGGGCCACTTGCCCACCACCGCTACCACAGGTGCGACGGGGGAGAAGGGAGGATAGGGGAGGTCCTCCTCCTCCTCCTCCTCCTCCTCCTCCTCCTCCTCCTCCTCCTCCTCCTCCTCCTCCTCCTCCCTCTCCTGCCTCCTTGGCAGTGGCGGTGCAAACTGGGCGGTGGACATGTGCAGATCGCGCCGCGCGCGCGCGCGTCGCGGGGCCAAGGGCACGCGGGGCGCGCGCCCGCTCCTCTCGGGGGCCCGGTCCTCTCCCGGGGCCCTCTCGCAGGTCGGCGGGGGGCGCTCGGGGCGTCGCGCGGGAGATCGCGCCGCGGTCTCGCGCGCGGTCGCGGGGGGCAGGGCGTTCTCCGAATTTCTTGGGCGGGATAACTGATCGAGGGGTGGGCGGCTAGCCTTCCGACGGAGCTTGCCCATCTTACCCCCCTCCGCCACCTCCTCCTCCTCCTCGTCCTCGGCCTTGTCCTCCTCCTCCTCCTCCTCCACCTCCTCCTCCTCCTCCTCCTCCTCCTCCTCCTCTCCTCCTCTCCTCCTCCTCCTCCTCCTCCTCCTCCTTTTCCTCCTCCTCCTCCTCCTCCTCCTCCCTCCTCCTCCTCCTCCTCCCCTAAACCCGTTCCGACAGCACGTGCCCAACCCCTCCAGCGGATCAGAGGGGGGGGGGGCGAGTCTTGCCCTCTCCAGAGTAGACGGGCTAACGGCGATGTAGGCAACGGCGATGTAGGTTTCGGTAGTGTGGACAGTGCGTGGCTCGCGCTTTCCTGCAGTTCGCTGTGTCGTGCTCGCTCGTTCCGTTTGCAGGTAGGAGATGTAGGAGAAGGTGGCTCGTGTTTTTTCCACGCTTTGGTTCACAGCATCGCCGTTCAGCAACATTCCCGTCAGCCGTGCCTTGGGTTCTGGCCTATCTTTTTTGTTGCGACGTCCCCGCGTCCCACGACGTCGGCCTCTCGGGGGGCGGGGCGGGGCAGAGGGCGGGGGAAGGCAGGATCGATCGCGACGTGGGGCGGCATCACCACGGCCAACAGCCCGGGCGCGCAGCCCGGCTTGGACTCGGGAGCGTGGTGGGAGGGGGCTGCTCGAACGTCGGCATGGTCGTCTGGCCGTGCTCGTGCCCTTCGTGGCCCCGCTGTCGCCCTTCGTGGCCCCCTCGCTGTCCTACGTGGCCCCGTTGCTGCCCTCAGTGGCCCCGTTGCTGCCCTGTGAGGCCCCGCATCATCTGCCCTTCGTGGCCCCCGCTCGTTCGCGCCCTTCGTGGCCCCATACGCATGCCCTTCGTGGCCCCACTGTTGCCCCTCGTGGCCCCCTTCCTGCCCTTCGTGGCGGGGCGCTGGTTGGCGCGCATACCATCTACCAGCAGCACCAACCCACTCCGGGGAATGCAAGAGAAGAGATGCAAGGAGATGGCCCGAGCCAGGCGCGAAGTTCGGCAGGGGGGGAGGGGGAGGGAGGGGGGGAGGATGAGCCCGACAACGATCGGGGGCCCAGCGTTGGCCTGGCCAGGGTCGGTGTCCGCCGCCGCTCTCCCGTGCACGGCCCCCCCCTATGCCGGGCGTGGCTGCCCGGCAGAGCCCGCGCCGAGCCGATGCGTTCGTGAGGGCGCCATTGCTAGTGGCCTTCGGCCTATCTCGCCACGGTGCCCGGGTTATGGACAGGAGGCCTCTTTCTAGGCCTCCTAGATGGGGTCGGAGTAGGTGGGGTCGGAGGACAGCGCCGCATCGCCGATGCATCGCCGATGCGGCTCGATGTGGGGCCCGATTTGCTTCACGTCGGCGACGTCGATGCATCGCCCACGTCGGCGATGCATCGCTGGTGCATCGCCGATGCATCGCTGATGCATCGGCGATGCGGCGAGATCCTTCGACCCCATCTACTCGGACCCCATCTGGGATGCCTCTTTTGGGTCAGAGCAGGATGAGGTCCCGATGCCGCTGCCCTTCCCTCGTCTTCGCCGTTTTGGGGGCTTCCAGGAAGCCTTCGTTTCCTGCCCGCTGGATTCGCTTCGGAGTTCTGGTCGGACCGCACCCTTAGAGAGTTGCGGGGGGCAGCGGTGTCAGTCGAAGAAGAAAACACGCTGTAAGCAGAAACTTTCGGAGCTCCGCGCCGATTCCTTGGATCCGCTTGGGCCCCCTGGCGGCGCCTCCGGCGCGTCAGGGAGGGGGGTCCAGCACGGATGCCCGAAGTTCGCGCGGAGCGCTACAAGCTTCTTCCGTTGCGGCTTCTCCCTTCTCTCACTTCGATCTCCCGGCTGAGGAGGCCTCCTGGACGTAGGCCTCTCTGGAGCCTCAGCCTGTGCCTCCTTGGCACGAGGCCTTCGTGAAGGCCTCGTGAAGGCCTTCGCCATCCTTCGCCGTCCCGCGCCGGGCACGAGGCCTTCGTGAAGGCGCGCGACTACTTTGAGGCGAACAAGGACAAGGAGCCCGAGGACGAGAGGCCACAGCCGATGACCGCGGCGGAGTGGAAGAAGGCGCTGCCACGGCCGTCTGCTCGCCGGGGGTTCGAATGTTCAGCACTGTTTCCTCCGATCTGCACCCCAGTTGGGGATGTGCGCCTCGAAACTCGAGGGGATCTCCCTGTCCCCATCGAGGGGGCCAATCGGCCAGTGGGGCCCAGGCCACGTCATTGGGGCCACGTCATTGGGGATGGGGATTGGCGGAGTGGAAGAAGGCACGCCCTGCAGTGTTAAACGTAAGTCGGGCCCGTTCCTTTACAGGAGGGGAATTCAAAACTAGTCAAAAAATAGTCAGGGGACTACTTTTGGAATAATTTTTTGACTATTTTGGCGTATTTTTTGAGTACTTTCTAGCGTTTCGTCGAAAATTCCCCTGTAGAAGGACACGCCCGACTTAATGTTAATCTCGATCTGGTCGATCCGATTCGATAGCGGTTCAGGCCGACTCGATCCGATCCGGTGCCGATTCTGCGAGGGCCCGATGCGGCGCGATGCTTGCATGGCGCCGTTGTGCATCCTGGCGCGGCCGATCCGGCCGATCTGATTCGATCCCGACAGCGTGCCGATGCGGTTCGGTTCGACGCACATCTGGATCGGATCCGATTTCCCGGTCCGGACATCACTGATCTTTCTCTGGCTCCTCTGACGAAACGGCCGCGGCGCCCGATGCATCGTCCACACCCGCAGGCTCTCGGAGATTCCCGATCTATCCTTTAGGATGCAACTCTTTGGAGTTACATGCAGCATCGGCGCTGGTGTACATGTGTTGTCGACAACCAGCCTTGTCCTGCTCAATCCCGCCTAATCCGACCGAGTCCGGCTTAATCCTACTCAATCTTGGGCTCAATTTAGGTTAATCCGCCTTGATGGCCCCTCAGTCGGGCTCAATCGCCTGGAATCATTCCGACAAAGACCTCCCAGGAGTTACCTTCCAACGATGCATCGTCCAGTTCCGCCGCATCCCTGAGATTCCCGATCTACCCTCACCAGAATTTGCCCTCATCCTGCTATGGGGCCTCTACTTCGGCCTGGGCGGTACAGCGCTGAATAGTGCAGCATCGGCTGTTCCCCCTCCCGATCGGGGTTCCCGATCTGCTTCTCGACCTCTTGTCAATCGGCCCGCGATGCGAACGGCACGCGGTCGAGCCACCAGGGCCTCCATGGTGCCCAGCCCCCATCATCGGAGGAGGTCTGTAACCCCAGAGACCTGTGACCGGAAACGCGTCCGAACCTGTTGCGGGAAAGGCATCTAACCACAAGCGTGTTCGAATTTGGAAAAGCGTATTAGAGTTGGAGCCGGACACACTGACTCGGTCACGCCCGGGCGTGTTCGAAGAGCATCGGGCGCTGGTCTTCGTTGCTTCAGGGCACATTTTCAGGCGCAGGCTTGGTCACAACGTCCTCCTGATGGAGCCGGGGCTACGTTGAGCTGATTTTTTTTTGCTCGAACTCATAGCGCCCGTTATGTGGCCTCCAATTCACCCACCCGCCCAGTAGATACTATATCCCTCTCCGCTTCACCCACCCCTGGTGCAGCAGCGCCTGTTGTTCAGCAGACAGGTGTACTGTTCGCAGTGCGCGCGAAACGTGTTATGCTATATGCCAGCGAACCCACCCACCAACCCAGGCACATAACGCGCGTCATGTGGTTTCAAAAAACTTGAGCTTGCGAGGGTCAGCATCGAAGCCTGCGCGACGGAAAGAGAATGGAACTCACCCTCACCCTGCCTGCTTCTTGCGCCTCCTCGTCCAGGGTCAGGCTGGGCATGCCCCCCTCTGGGCAGACTTGGGAGGGAAAACCTAAGATAGTCAGAACAAAATCAAGCATGGTAAGCAACTCATAGGGGGAGGAGGAGGAGGAGGAGGAGGAGGAGGAGGAGGAGGAGGAGGAGGAGGAGGAGGAGGAGGAGGAGGAGGAGGAGGACGAGGACGAGGACGAGGAGGGCGGCGCCCGAGGCAAGTCCAGGGCCTGCGCCCCTGGGCCCCCGCCTCGCCGGCACCGGGCCGCTCGGCCCTCGGGCGCGGCAGCGCTCGGGCCCGTGCAGGTCCTCCGTCGGCGAGGGCCCTCGAGGCTTGGCATCGCTCGGACGCGTGCACTCTTTCCTGCGGCGAGGACCATCGAGGAGCATCCTCGATCATCTGGCCAAAAAAAATCCACGCACGGCACCGAACAAGAACACAGGGAGTGGACGTCCAAGCGATGGGGCGAGCGAGGAGCATCCTGCCGGGTACAGCCAGGGCCCCAGGGAAGGGGACCCGGTCAGGAGCAGGGCCCCTGGAGCCCCCGAATCTGCCAGAGCCACTAGGCCAGGTCTGCCAGAGCTGGCGTTTTTTCGGGCGACGGCAGTTCCGGTGAGTGGAACGGGCGGGGGTGGCGTCCCCCAGCACACGTATCACTAAAGCGGGTCCCACTGAGCCCAGTTCTGCCAACGCCCAATCGTGGATCATTCAGCAACTGATCGTCTTTCAATTCATTGTTGTGCCGAGCGGCGCGGGCCCTCGCCCCCCTCCCCTCCCCCCTCGCCCCGTGGAGTAGATCTTGGCAGTTTTTGGCGCCTGTTTCAGGCAGCTGGAGCCCCCTCCACAGGGCGAACTGCTGCAAGCAGTCGCATCAAGCAGAGGTCCGGAGCCAGACCCCCCCCCCCTTCCGCCCAATGTCGAAACACCGAATAAGAAAACGCTCACAAGCACGCGCGGAATCGAAGCACGCGCGGGGAATGGATGTCCGAACGATGGCCAGAGGATGGGGCCCCGAGGGAGGGGGGCAACGTGAGGGGGAGATAGGCTCAGGGGGGGATGCATTGGTCCCCAATCGCCCACTGATCGCCGACAGGGGCCCGATAGCCCACCCAGCCCAGTAGCATGCGGATTCGCCATCGGGGGCCTATCGCCGATCCATCGGCAGCGCATCGCCGATGCCAGCTGGGTGTTTCTCCCTCCTGAGCCTGCCCACCCCCCCGATAGCGTTCCCCCTCACCGAGAGACGGGGCCCTGGAGGATGGGAGGGGATCCCAGGTGGAGTCTTTGTTTGATGCCCCTCGTCTTTTGGGACCCATCCCTCGGGGCCCCATCTTGGAACGGGCCCAATCCGTGGGCCTCCAAGCCTTCTCCTCCTCCTACTCCTCCTCCTGCACCTCCTCCTCTTCCTCCTCCTCCTTTTCTGAAGTTCGGCAAACATTTTGCGGGGCCCGTTGCGTTATTCCTCCTCCTGCAGCTCCTCATCTTCCTCCTCCTCCTCCGCTTCTCCTCCTCCTCTTCCTCTTCCTGCACCTCCTTCTCCTTCTCCTTCTCCTCCTCCCCCTCCTCCTCCGCTTCTCCTCCTCCGCTTCTCGACCTCCTTCTCCTCCTCCTCCTCCTCCTCCTCCTCCTCCTCCTCCTCCTCCTCCTCCTCCTCCTCCTCCTCCAGGTCGGCGGCACGAGGCTGGGGCCCCGAGGGACGGGGGACGGGGCCCCGAGGACAGGAGGGGGTCCCAGGATCTGCGTGTACTGTCCGCTGGGCCACTCGCGGCGGCGCCACGGTGGAAATTCCTGCCAAGAGGCACCCTGCTTGCCTCCAGGGGTGCCCTGGGCTTCTTGGGCTCCGATGGTTCTGCGATGGAGGGCGTGACGTCTCCCCACGCCACAAGTCCATGGACGTCCTGGGGTCTCGGGGTGTTGGGCTTCTCGTGGACGGGTTCCTCGTGGTCGAGCTCCCGCTGTGCGCTGGGCCACCCGCGTGGGCCCCAAGGTGGCGCCAAGGTGGCGCGTCGCGGCCGCCCTTCCCAGGGCGGCGGCGTGAGGGCGCGCGCCTCGCGGGGCGCGGCGCGCGGAGGTGGAGCGGAGGAGCATCCGCGAGTGCGAGGCCCTCCTTTTTCCCAGTGCCCGCCCCGAGGTCCTCGAGGAGGACTTCGACGAGGGCGAGGAAGAGGAGGACCTCCTCGAGGACGAGGAGGAGTTCGAGGAGGGCGAGGAGGAGACGCTCCCCGGCGCCAGCTGCAGCCGTGCCTTTGCCATTCACAGCTCATCATATACCTAGCTGCTGTTTTGCGCTTGCCTTTCTTTCTAAATCAAGCGTGTTTCGCCACCGATGGCCTCGCCGGAGGCCTTCTCGGGCTTCTCCCGGAGGCCTCCAGAAGCATCTTGGAGCATCTTGAGGGACTTGGAGTTTCTTTGGTGCCTCGTGGGGCGGCCTCGGGATGGTCCTGTGGCATCTTGTGGCATCTTGTGGTCAGGTTGTGGCGGTCTGTATAGCTGCCTTGGAGCCATCTGGAAGTCGAGACAGTACGGTCGGCCCGAGGTGGAACATCGAGGTCGGTTCGGGGAGGGTACCCTCGAGTGATCGTCTGGTTTTGGATGTTTTTGGTCTCATGTTCTTGAAGGATGTTCTTCTTTCTTGAGGTCCGACTGTACGCCCTTCGGGATGCCCGGGGGCGCTCTCGGGGCCATGTCGGGGGTGTTTCTGGACGCTCTCGAATGTTTTTTTTTTTTTTTTTTTTGCTTCGGGGCGATCTGACGCGGACGAGCTTCATGATTTTACCGCATGGGTGTTGCCTGGACTTTTCCACGCTGATCTCTCAGGGCCTTGCTGGAGGTCTCTTGAGGAGATCTTGTAGCCTTCGTGACCTTAGTTGGGTCGTCCTCGGACAGCCTTGGCGTATTGTGGCCGTTTCGCGGTGGTATTTGGCTGCCATGAAGTCATCCGGAGGTCGGAAGAGGCTCTCGATCGCAACATCAGGGGGGATGTTTTTCAGATCGCATGCGCGATGAAGGGAGGAGGTGATGGGCCTCGTGGAAAAACAAGAAAACTTACCGGCATCAGACAGTCATTCCAACACGCTTCAATGTGCAGGTGGCACGGTGTCGGATCGATCGCCTCAGGGATGCGGCGTAGTAGATTTCGGTAAGGTGCGGGTCAGGATGGGGCTCAGGCTTACTGCCTGTGTCTCGGTTCGGAGTGAGTGCAGTATTAAGGTGACGGTCATTTTTAGGGGGTGGGGGTACTATTTGATTTAGGGTTTGGGATTGTATTATTGTTTTAGGGCCTTGCGTGTTCGAGTGAGAGTGGGACTAGTCTCGATCGGGTAGGCTAGTGCTGGGGTCAAGGTTTGCGTCGAGGCCGGGAGGGTTGCGCTTCGATCAGGGCTGTGGGTGGCTTCAGATTCAGGGGGGGTGTTTAGGACTTCGGGTTTTCTTGGTGTGGCTGCGTAGGGCTGCCCAGTGTTTCGCTTTACCGTGACACTCTCGCGTCGTGAACAAGACCGCGACGGGAAGTTTTCAGCCGTCTTCGGCCTCTGGGAGCCCTCGGCCCGGCCCGAGGACCGTCAGCAGCGCACGACTCGGGATGAACCCGATCCCCCGGACAGGGTCCAAACCTCTGGGGAGTCACGCTGCAGCGACAATCACGACGTCGGATGTCTGGCTTGGTGTTGACTGCCTGGGCGCGACGGCCCCTGCGCGTGGCCTCCCTCTTCTCGCATGGGGAACATTCATCCGTGTAGCACGGTTCCAGGCCTTCGGTCGGGCGTCTGTCAGGCAGCGCGTTGTTGATCGAGAGAGTGCATCGTCGTTCTCTATTCGCTGTTCTGCGTTAGGCTCTGCCCTGAGCGCGGGCCGGCCCTTGCGATCAGCAGCGGCCAGCAGCCGGAGGACGACGACGACGCTGGAGATGCGGAAGAGGCAGGTGCTGAGGAGCCAGCCGCGAAGAAGGCCAAGACAGACAAGACAGAGTGAGTGCGGATCAGCACCACCGCCGTGTGCTCTCCGAATGTTTTGCTCATACGCTCCCATCTGTGCCACGCAGGGGCGCTGCCGATGCAGCGCGGGCCCGTCTCGCGCCACGTCTTGGCGTGGGCGCTCCTGCTGCCTGTTCTCCTCCTGCTCCTCCTCCTCGGTCCTCCCTCCTTCGCGTTTCCTCCTACTTCTTGCGACCGATGGGCATGCCTGTAACCAGTATCTCGGGCACGCGAGCTGCTCGTTGCTGCCTGCCTGCGAGGTGCTGCTCACGGGTCTGGCCAGTGCTTGGGTTCCCCTGGCGGTGCAGCGACAATGGCAATACATTCTGCGTGTTCCTGTCTTGCTCGTGGCCTGCTTTGCTACTCCCCTTGCAGTGGAGACCCATGCCAAGAAGCACCCTGCTCGCCTCCAGGGTGCCCTGGGTTTCTGCGGTTTCGATGGTTTTGCTATGGAAAGCATGACATTCCCACACCAAAATTTCAATGGACGTCCTGGGGATTCAGGGTTGGGTTTCTTGCGGAAGGTTTCTTGTGGATGGGCCCCCATTGTATCTCTCTCCTTCGCTTTCTTTCTCGCGTGCTTACCCCTCTCGGCTCTCTCCTCCTGTAGCTCATGCCTTCAGCAGTCATATGCTGTGCATGTGCACAATCATAAACCCGTGTTCCGGCACGCGTGGATGGAGGCAGTCGTCCACTTTCTGGGGACGATTGGATGATTGCTTTCGCTTCGCGGAGCTCACGTCCAGAGAGACAATACAAGAGCTGGTACTCCAGATTTCGTAATAAAGGGAGGGGGGTCTCATTTCGGGGGGCATCTCTTCCAGGCTATCTTGGAGGGCCTGGGGGGGTCTGGGGACGATGTTTTGGAGGGCTCTCCCACGGGGGGAGGTCTGAAATGGCTTGTCTTGGAGGGTCCAGACCCCCTCCCTTTTATTACGAAATCTGGAGTATCTTGTATGACTTGAGCGGGAAGGTTGAGGAATCGCCCAGTCACGCTGCATTTGTGTGCGCGTGTGTGTGTGTGTGTTTTTGTGTTTGTGTGTGTGCTGACTCCAGATTTCGTAATAAAAGGGAGGGGGTCTGGACCCTCCATGACAAGCCATTTCAGACCCCCCACCGTGGGAGAACCCTCCAAAACACCGTCCCCAGACCCCCCCAGGCCCTCCAAGATAGCCTGGAAGAGACCCCCCCCGAAATGAGACCCCTTTCCCTTTATTACGAAATCTGGAGTATGTCTGCTCGAGGGTGTCCCGTGTGGCCTGCGGCGATCCGCAGCGTGCGGCCGAGGTCTCCGCCGGAGAGCCTCCCGAGCAGTGCTGCCGCGGGCAGCGCCTGTGATTCCCCAGCAGGCGCGTCGGGGCGATCTTTAGGGGGCCACATGCGAACCCTCCTCCTCCTCCTCCTCCTCCTCCTCCTCCTCCTCCTCCTCCTCCTCCTCCTCCTCCTCCTCCCCCCACTCCTAGCCCTTTCGATCAGGGTCGGCGGCACCGGCCGTCAGGCCTCTCCAATCGAACTAGAGTCGAACTGGATAGGGGGCCACATGCGAACCCTACCCCTGCCCCCCGCGATTTCTGAGGGGGAGGGTGGGGTTCCCTTCGCTCGGGAGCTCCCGAGCGAAGTGAACCCCACCCTCCCCCTCAGAAATCGCGGGGGGTAGGGGCAGGGTTCACACGTGGCCCCCTAATCTTGGAAATGGGCTCCGTGGCCGTCCCTGGGCGTCGTGCCGCCCAGGGAGCCTCGGGATGAGGAGGGCTGGGCTTGAGTCGGGCGTGTCCCTCTACAGGAGGAGTACTGAAAAATGGTGAGCATTGTTCTGGGGACGACTTCTGAATCGTTTTGACAGTGTGAGCTTTTTTTTTACAATTGTTTTTCGTCATTCTTCCAGAACCCGCCTGTAGGAGGACATGCCCGCAGACTGCACCACAGAGTGTGCACCACATAGACTGCACAGCGTCTAGTGCACAAGCTAGACTGCACGACGTTGATTTTTAGAATACGATGCCTGGGGTTCACGTTGGCTATTTTTTGTATGCGTTCATACGTTTACCGTCCTGTTTCCGCAGTGGCATTAACGATCCTATGTAATTTGGAATCATACATTCGAGTCGTTCTTTTGTCGATCTCGACCCCTGATTGTAGCTAGACCGAAGGAATCACCAGTCTGCAAGACGCGGGGATTATAACACAGGGGGACCGGTCTGCAGAAGGGGAGGTGGGACTTGAGTTCTTCGTCGTATCTGTAGTGCCAATCCACTGCACGAGCATCGCGTTGTTCTGTTGTTCCGTTGCACTGCGCATGCGTTGCAAGCCTACGCTGACTTGGTTCACTCTTGCGTCGTATCCTGAGGCGTACACAAACATTACTTTTGGCACATGCTGTGCAGTGCAGCGGCGTACCACCTCCATAGGGGATAACGCGCTCAACGCTCTTGCAAAAAACAGTGCATCGCGATCAGCACGTCTTACCTCGACGTGGGGCCACCAGGCCGTGGTCTAGCAACAGCTGCTACAGCAATATGGGTGTGAAGCTAGGTGGGAAGCACCTCTCGCGCCAGGTGGCCTTCAAGCGGCCAGATGATTGCCTGTATTTCATCATTTGTTCAGTTGGTGCCCGTTGTACTAGTCGCAAGCGTGCCGCAGAAAAGGCGCCCGCGCCTGGCAGAGGCCTTCTTGTCCGCCTACTTGGGCTCAGCCAGTGTTCTGCTCGTTCGCACGGGCCCAGGCTGGGATAAGTCGCTCCAGAAAGTTCTGGAACGCTCTGGCCCGGCCGCAGCGCTCCATACATCTTCCAGAACCGCCGGATCTCAGAGATCCCCGACTTGTACCGCCCCTGGCTTCGTGTTGTGGGCCGGGTGACGACGAGGAGTGATCGAAGGACGACGACGAGGAGTGATCAAAGGAGGAGGAGGAGGAGGAGGAAGACGAGGGGAGGAGGAGGAAGACCAGGACGACGACGACGACGAAGGGAGGAGGAGGAGGAGGACGACGACGAAGGGAGGAGGAGGAGGACGACGAGGAGTGGTCGAAGGAGGAGGAACAGGGGGAGGGCAGCGCACGTTGCCACACAGAGCCACGTCGGAGCGGACATCCGTGGACAGGCTCGCCTGTGCGAGGCCTCCCGCGGCTGCTCTGGTGGCAGTGGTTTCCGAGAGGATCAGGCGATCGCAAACATGGATCGGCTCACACAGGGAGCGGCTTGCAGAAGGACCATTTGCTTTTCAAAAGGGGCTTGGTCATTTAGGCTGACATGCGTCATTTATCGTTCCTGATGCGTTATGTATTGCTAATCGTTCCTCATGCGTTATTCCCAGGGGAAAAGGGGCTTCGTTCCTTATTTATCGTTCCTTCGGTCAGGCCGATGACTGTACGTCATTCGCCGAGCGCGTCCCACTCCTCGCAAGGTGCCTATTCTCAGGCAATCACAAACATGGATCAAGGGGGCGTGGATTAGCGACGGGTCCCCTTTCCATGGGAAATCGCTGACTGCCGCCGCCGAGCGAGGCGGCACTGGTCGCATTCTGGGGGAGGGCACCTCCCCCGATCCATGCTTGCGCGCACCCGAGAGAGAATGCCGTGTGCCATCATCTCCCGCCTGCTTCCATCACTCCTTCACCCACCTCCTCTTACTCATGCTCAGATTTGCTGGCGCTCAGCCTCACTCACATTCCGATTCGCTCAAAATCAGTCCCACTCGTATTCAGACTCGCTCACGCTCAGGCCCTATTGCTCACTCACGCTCAGACTCACACTCAGGCATACTCACGCTCAGCCTCACTGATGCTCAGACTCGCTCTCTCTCAGACTGACCTATACTCATACTCACTCGCACGCAGGCTCACTCATACTCGGATTCGCTCACTTTCAGATTCGCTCGTGCTCGACGCTGTCAGAGCGGGCACAGATGCACCGCGAATCCCAGGGGAAGAAACGAGTCATGCGAAGGTCAGGGATCCGAGGCGGGAATTTACACATGACCACCGCCTGAAGGGTCAGTTTTCGGAGCCTCGGCAGGCGGTGGATATGGACAGATTCGGGCCCCTGGGGGCCGAAATATACCCATATCCACCGCCCGCTGGGGCACCAGGACGTCGGTTCCCAGGCGGTGGATGTGGATAAATCCTCGCCTCGCAAGAGAAGAATCTGACAGGGAACGACCACGCATGTCGAATCCAGTAATTCTAGACGCTTCGCGTATCCCCACCAGCCCGTCCAGAAACGACGCCCAGGCGAGTAGAGGGTCGTCCTGAGGGGCTTTTCGGCGTCTTGGGTGCCTCGGGGGGGCCTCTTTGGGCCGTTTGGGATCCTCTTGGGGGCCTCCGGGGGGCCTCTTGGGGCCATCTTGGGGCCATTTTGGGGCCCGGTTTTGGTGCCTCCTGGGCGCTTCTTGGGGCCATCTTGGAGGAAATCGAACAAAGAAGAGGGGAGCTTTAATTAGCGCTGCCCCCCCAGAAGGCCAAAATGGGGCCAAAACCTTAGTAGAATCAATGATTTTGGCTTCAAAGAAGAGGGGAGCTTTAATTAGCGCTGCCCCCATCAGAAGGCCAAAGTGGGGCCAAAACCTTAGTAAAATCAATGATTTTGGCTTCAAAGAAGAGGGGAGCTTCAATCAGCGCTGCCCCCTCAGAAGGCCAAAATGGGGCCAACACCTTAGTAAAATCAATGATTTTGGCTTCCTCGGCGAGGCCGTTTTGGACGCTCTGACCGCTCCCCGCCCCTCCTGACCAGGTCAGTGGGGAGGGGGTAGGGGGAGGGGTAAACCCCTCCCCGAAGGGGAAGAAGGAGGGGTGGAAGAGGAAACTCGTTAAACCACCGACGCCCTAAAGGGCTGGTGGGATTAGGAGGGGCCTTGGCAGTCGACGTCATGTTGTTTGGTGTACAGCGCTGCTTCCCAGAGGTCCTGGGCCCCTGCTCAGTGACAGGCCGGGGGGACGGTCCCGGGGCCCGGGGGCCGGGAACGGCTTCCGCCGCGAGCTTCTCGCGGCGCGAGGATCTCGGGGGAGCGCATCGGCGGCGAGCCCCGGGCGGAAGTCCCGAGCGTTTCGGGCTCGGGGCCCGAGGTTGTCGGGCGCCGCCCTTCGGTCCCCGGTGCTTTTCTGGCCTCGGGGTGCGCTCCAGCGGCCGCGCCTGGCCGAGGGCGCCCCGGGGGTGCCCCAGATCGCCCCGAGGGGCCAGCAGAGCGCCGAGCTGTGGCCGACGAGACCGCCAGGCGTCGGATACGGTAGGTTCGTGTCGTGTCGACTGGCGGCGACCCCGCCAGCGGCGTTCAACTTTGAACGCCGCGGGCGACCCAGAATCGTTCGATGTGGAACGATTTGGACGTTTCGAAAACGGCCGATCGTTCAAGGTGGAAGGATCCCCTGCGGTGTCAGAAACCAGCGCCGAAGTCGGCACGACACGGACCTGCCGTAAAGTGGCGGGCCTCCTCGGCAGGCACGGAAGCCCCCCCCCCGCCTTCCGAGACGTTTTTTTTTTTGCAGCTGTCCCCGAAGTCGCAGGAAACTTCCCTCATGGGGCGCGAGGGCTTCTGAGTGACCAACTTCAACGTCGACACAACGGGGACCAGCCCTGTACACTTGCACCGATCCAGGCCAACTGGACCAGTGTAGGGCCAGGACAGGCCTAAAGGCCTGGTGTGCTTGTATGCTTGTCGTTCTCCAGCCTGTGCTCCTCTTTCTTCCTCTGCCAGCGATCGGCCCTTCTACGGCTATGCAGGCCAGGCTGCGGCATGGGCTTCTGAGAAGTCCCGCCGCCTTCTGAGAAGGCCTTCTCCTTCGCGCTTCCCCCCTGGGCGCGCCGCCGAGTATCCGCCAACATGGGTCCCGGGATCCCTCCTGGGGTCCATCCGACGCGGCTTTGCACCCCAGATCGTGTTTCGGGGGTCCCAGGGTCCGAAAACGGGCCCCAGAGGTCAAAACCTATGAAGAAGAATACCTCGAACCGCGAACCGCGAACCTCGAAGCTCGAAGCTCGCTGGCGAGTGTAGGTGCCTTCTGCTGGCGTGGCTGCCGCGGCCCTTCTGCCGCAGTTTTTTTTGTTGCCTCGGTCCAGTGACCGCCCGGGGGCCGCGCGGGCGCGGTGCTCCTCCCGAGCCGCCCGCGTGGTCGGGGGGGGGGGAGGTCCCCGGAAGCAGGGAGCTGAGGAGCCAGGACACCAGCGCACGATCCCGATCACCCAACCGTCGAAGAAGAAGAAGAAGAAGAAGAAGAAGAAGAAGCAGCGCCATAGGCATCAGCTTCTTTGGCGCGCCGCGCGGATCTCTTGGATCCGGCCCCCGCGGGCGCCGGGGAGGGGGTCCAGCGCAGATCTCGGAAATCCGCGCGCGGCGCCAAAAGTTTCTGTTTATGGCGTTTTTTGCTCCTTCGGAACCGCGACCAGAGCCCCCGACCCAACCTTTCTGCGGCATCCGTCGAGCCACATCGAGCGGCGAGGTCCCCGGGGCCCGAAACAAGGCCAGATCCCCGCACATGCCCGAGCCCCAGCCCAGGAGGAGCTGGCTGCCCTGGTGCCTCGGGCCCCGCCAGGGCCTGAGCCGAAGCCCAGCCGATCCGAAGGTCGATGGAGACGCAGCTGCACAAACATGACACGTCGGGGGGGCGCGCGGATTGCTTTCGCAGATCTCTTGGATCTGCGCTGAAGCCGAGCCAGAGGTCGAGAACAGCTACGAAGCGGCGTAAACGTAATTTTCGGAGGTGTGCGCGGATGGCTTGGCGCCGGGCCCCCCTGGCGGCACCTCTGGCGCCGCCTCTGGTGCGTCCCGCGCTTCAGAGTGGATCCAGCGCCGACCCAAGAAATTCCTCGTGACCCAAAAGGGGGTCCAGCTGAAAAGGGGTGGTGCAATAGATTTGGGGCAATTGTATTGCAAATGTTTTGTGCCAGATATTTGTATTGCATTGCGTTGCAACTGATGTATTGCACGCGCAAATCCAGCAATACATCTACGCTCCAGAATGTACTGCACACCCCAGATCTATTGCAACCCCACAAATCTATTGCACCAGATCTATCGCACCACCCCATTTTCGCTGGACCCCCTTTTGGGTCAACCAGAAATATACGCGCGGACCTCTGAAAGCTCATGTCTACGCCTTCCTTCCTCAACGAGGATCAGGCCGAGTCGAGCCCTGAGATCCGACGCCGCGAAGGACGCAACATCGTGGGCGAAAGTGCAGTGGAAACCCATCTCAAAGCACCCTGCTTGCCTCCAGCGTGTCCTGGGCTTCATGCGCTTCGACGGTTTTGCCATGAAAAGTCAGTGGACGTCCTGGGGTCTCAGGGTTGGGTTTCTTATGGAAGGTTTCTTGTGGTCGGGCCCCTACTGTATGCTGGAGCTCTCTGGGCCCCATTCTCCTGCGGCGCTGCTCGAGCCAGGTCGGTCCATGCGGGGGCTGCGCGGGGCCCGAGCAGCGCTTGGCGACGAGGCGCCCCCGCGCGACGAGCAGCAGCTCGGCGCCGGGGCCCCACAGGTCGGCGGCGAGCGAGGGGAGGAAGTGAGAAGGAGAAGGCCTCCTCAGACGTATCGGAAGTCACACGGCCTCCCGAGAAGTCTTCTGCGCCTTCCCCGAAGGCACAGGACAGCTCCTCAGAACGCGCGGGGGCTTCTGAGAGGTCCCGGCCGCCTTCTGAGAAGGCCTTCTCCTTCTCACTTCCCCCCCTCCCTCGCCGCCGAACAGGGGAGAAAAATGGCCGACGCCGCGCCGAGCTGCCCCCCCTCGGTGGGCAGCGACGGGGCTATGGCGATAGTTCCTCACCACCCACCAGACCACCCCAACCTAACCCGAAGGCCTCGATCTGCCCTCCATCTCCAGTGTGGGGGGTGGTGGGGGAACATTGAAAAAACACATATGGAGCCCATACTCCCCCCAACCCGAAATTCGGGTTTTCGGGTTGGGTTGGGGTGGTCTGGTAGGTAGTCAGTTTCTGATGCTCCACACGGGCTGCAGACACGAAGGTCGCTGGATGCTCGCATTAGGGATAGTCAGTCTGGGCGGTTTGGTCTGATACATCTGCGGAAACGACCCCCTATCCCCGATGCTTCTGGCCCTCCTGACTTAGGTCCTGACAGGGAAGACCACAGTGGCCGACGCCGCGCCGACCTGCCCCACCCTCATGGGGCAACGACGGGGGTGGCGATGCTTCCTGATGCTCTGCACGGTCTGTAGGAACGAGGGCCGCTGGATGCTCCGGAGCTTCTAGAACGTATGCTGAGCCAGCCTCATGATGTTCCAACCTGCTTTGGCCTTGACCGACAGAAAGAATTTCGAGCAACACGAAAGTACCGAAACTTGAGCGTTTTCGCGCGCGTGTCGGACCCTGGGAGGCGATGCTCGTTCGACACTGTTTCGACATTTTTCTGGGCGCTCAATTTTTTATGTCGGGCATGTCCCTCTACGGGAGGAATCTTTCAAAAGTTGTCAACAAATCGTCAGGGGACGCTTTTGTTTTATTTCTGTACATTTCTGAACATATTGTTTGTTGCTTTTATTTTTTTAGTTTTTTCGCCCAGGATCCGCCTGCAGGGGGACGTGCTCGACCAGAACTTATTGCTGGGATGTGTGGTCCTTGAGCACGACGGGAGCAACAGAATCACCACCTACCAAACCACCCCAGCCCATCCCGAAGGCCTCAACCTGTCCTCCATCTCCAGTTGTGGGGGGGGGGTCGGGGAACATTGAACAAAGACCATATGGAGCCCCGCCCCCCAACCCGAAACTCGGGTCAACTACAGGTCTTCGGGTTGGGTGGGGTGGTCTGGCAGGCAGTCGACAGACAGCCAGCCGCGCCGTGGGCACCGCGCTCGTCCCGATTGCCACGGCCGGGAGGCCCCGCCGGGGAGGCCCCTCTCTGGGAGGCCCTCGAGGAGGAGCCTCGAGGAGGCACGGTTCGGCGCGCGCACGGCGCGCGGCTTGGGACCTCTTGGGGGTCTCTTGGGGCTCCCTGGCGGCGTCCTGGGGGCCCCCAGGGCCTCTCGGCGGGCTCCTGGGGACCTCTTGGGGCGGGGGGGGGTAGTCCATTGCGGCTCCCCCCTCGGAGGTCACGATCCTCGTGAGGAGTGGCGCTTTTTCCTTTTTTCTTATTCGAAACACTCGCGGCCTGGCAAGCGAGCTCCAACAACAACTCAGGGGCAACGCCACGGGGGGGATCGGCTCATAGGAGGAATGCGTCGACCCCAAATCTCCAATGATTCGGCCACAGTGGCCCGACGGCCCGGGGCGTGCGGCTTTGCGCTGTCGGGGGGCGCATTTCGCTGCTCCATCGGCGACACATCCCCGAATCCAGCCCGATGCTTCCCGCCCCCTGCGCCCCCTGCGCCCCCTGCGCCCCTGCGCCCGATGCTTCCCGCCCCTGTCGGTGGCAAATCATGGGAGCCTGGTCTCCCCTCCCAATTCCGTCTTTGGCGTTGACTGGCGTGGATCAGCGTCTGGAGTCGATGAGGTACTGCCGATTTGGCGTCGAGCAGCGTCGATTCAGCGTCGATTAACGTCGACTCAGCGTCGACGAGCGTCGATGCGCAAGAGCCGACAAGATGGTATGGGAGGCTCCCATGAGTTGCCACCGAACCCCCTCGCCCCGAGGCCCCAGATCTCCGACGGCATGGCTGTTTGGATCCGCGGCCCCCAGGGCCCCCTCCCCCTGGAGCCAATGATGCTGCTCCTGGCCCCCCTTGGTGCATGGACCGAGATAAAGCCCGCGGACGCCGAAAGGAGGAGGAAGAACGCCGCGAAAGAAAACACATGTTTTGAAGAGTCAGCTCCCCCCTGTCCTGTCCGCTCCCATCCTCTCCTCTCCTCTCCTCTCCTCTTCCTCTCCCCTCCTCGCCTCGCCTCGCCTCTCCTCTCCTCTCCTCTCCCCTCCCGTCCTCTCTTCTCCTCCCCCTTCCTCCCCCTCCTCCCTCCTCCAATCCTTCTCCCCCTCCTCCCTCCTCCCATCCCTTGGACCGCTCAGACGTTTCGTGGTCCCAACGGGAGCTCCACCGCATGCCTCCGACACCCCCATTACGACGAACCCCTCACGAGGATCGTGGCCCCATGGGGAGCTCCACCAAAGGTCCCAGGGGCGCCGCCTTCATGCGTCCGACCCACCCATTTTGGCACACCTCTTCCGAGGATCGTGGCCGCATAGGGAGCTCCACCGAAGGTCCTAGGGTCGCCGCCCGCATGCGTCCGACCCCCCCGTGACGGCACACCCCTCACGAGGAACGTGGCCCCATAGGGTTCCCTCTGGTTCCGAGGGCACATCCCTGAGGTTGTCATCGCTTTTGGCTTGCCCATCTTGGGGGTAGGGATATACGCCCGTCGTCGGACGTATCTATTTTTCAATCCCCAGATTCCGATCTCTGCTCTTGGCGCCTTCTACTTCCAGAGTCGAGCGGCTTTCCCTCTCCTCCCTTCTCTTCGGGGGGCGGACGGACCCGCGGCGGAAGCCCCCTCTACTCCCACCGCCTCCTTGCCTCCCGCTTCTGCCCACCTTCCGGCCGACTGGCCAGTTCGAGTCTGGTTCCTCCTCCTGGAAGCCCCCTCTACTCCCACCGCCCCCCTGCTTCCTGCTCCTGCCCACCTCTTCTGGCCGACGGGCCAGTTCGAGTCTGGTTCCTCCTCCTCGTCGTCCTCTTCCTCGTCGTCCTCGTCGTCCTCGTCGTCGTCGTCCTCCTCCTCCTCCTGCTCCCCCTCCTCCACTCCCTCCTCCTCCTCCCCCTCCTCCTCCTCCTCCCTCCTCCTTCCTCCTCCTCCTCCTCCTCCTCCTCCTCCTCCTCCTCCTCCCCTCCTCCTCCCCTCTCCTCCCTCCCCTCTCCCTCCTCCTCCTCCCTCCTCCTCCTCCTCCCCCCCTCTCTCCCCCTCTCCTCCTCTCCTCCTCCTTCCTCCTCCTTCCTCTCCTCCCTCCTCCTCCTCCTCACCTCTCCTCCTCCTCTTCCTCCTCCCCCTCCCTCCTCTCCTCCTCCTCCCTCCTCGTCCTCTTTGCCCAGGGCTCCGTGATGCCGATGGGGGGCGTCGGCCGCGCGGCGGCGGCGCCCTCTGCGGCGCACCGGCCCGGTGGCCGCGGCGCGGCCGTGCCGCCAGTGGGCCTGCGGGGCGCGCTGGCGGGCCCGCCGGCGCTGGGCAGGCCGCCGCGCGCGTGCCCCCAGAGTCGGTCAGGGGCAGGGCTCGTTTTGGAGGGTTTCTCCGTAGGGCTTAGGCGACCCGTCCTCCTCCTCCTCCTCCTCCTCCTCCTCCTCCTCCTCATTCTCCCCCTCCTCCTCCTCCTCTTCCTCCTCCTCCCCCTTCTCCTCCTCCTCCTCCTCCTCCTCCTCCTCCTCCTCCTCCCCTCTTCCAATTTGAAGACGGTTAGCTTTTTTTGCCCAGGGGGCCCCTGTCGCTTGCCGCTGACAGGTCTTTGGCCTTCCTGTCAGGGTGACAAAAAGGCCCTCTCCGATGGGCTCCCCTAGGGCTTATTCAGCCGACTGTCGGATTCTTTATTTCTCTTTTCTCCCCCCTTTGGTGGCGTGCGATCCTCCTACTGTGGAAACCGTGCAGGGCAGGGCTTGTTTCGATTCCTCGGGTTCGATTCGATTTCGATGGCTTCCGATTCCGATTCGATTCGTCTCGGGATTCCGATTCGAGATCCGATTTCTCAGTACAGGGCCTGCTTGCCTGCGGAATGTCTGCCGATTCGACTTTCCCCGGCTCGGCTGCCGATTCCCGTCGATCCGATTCATGTCGACGTCCGATCCGACTTGTCGATTCGATTCTGGGCTCTCCTGGGCAGGGGAGGAGGAGGTACCCATACACGCTGGTCGTTGGGAGTCGGTATTCTTGGACATCCAGGTCCCAAGTCTGCCTCAAGCGCGTTCCTGCCGCAAGAGAAGTCTGGATTTTGCGACTCTGGGCGGGCCCAAGCCCAATCTGCTGGATCCGCCATCCTGCTATATGTTTTCACCTGCTTCTTCCGAGTGGCGGGTACCTCTTGGGCTTCCTGGGTGGCCCTCTTCGCCACCGCTGGATTCGCTTCGAGATTCTGGCCAGAAGGAACCCGGGAGTGGTATCTTTTGGTTTCCCCAGTCTTGCGATTGGTTGAGGGGGCACAGGGGCACAGGCAGCCTTCATGAATCACAGTCCGGAAGCAGTTCCAGGCCAATGTTTTTGAAAAAGCTCGAATTCAGCGTTGCCGGAATTTCGAAGTTCGAAACAGTTTTGGTAACGTTCGGCGGCGAACGGATTCCGATCATCCGCAGAGCGCTTGAAACCTGTTGACAGACAGACAGACAGAGGCCGGGTCAAGCCACATGGGTTGGCCCGTAAACGGGCGAGGCTACAGCGCAGTGGCCTGAACAAGCACGCGCGCAACGGAGAGCAAACGTTCTGCCTCTGAGGGGGAGATGGGGGGAAGGAGGAGAAGAGCGGGGGCGGTCCTCACGCGTGAATGCAATACTCGACGAATGCGTCTTCATCACATTCATGTGCAAGTTCCATACCAGCGAGATACAGTATGCAAAACATAACGGGCAACTCCTTGAAGGTGGTCCTCCCATCTCGTCAGAGGGCGTCCGCACGCCCTCGTAGCCTCATGCGTATAGCGCGTATAGCGTATGCGTATAGCCGCATGTGTAGTGCGTAAGATGCTACGTTTTATTGTTGGTTGAAGGCGGTGCGAGGGCGAGGATTGGGCAGACACCATGAGACGAATGCGGGACAGGATTGCCCATGCAATGTATATTTTCCCGATTGACAAATGAAGCGAACTATTATGTCGCCGCTTGTTTAGACTTGCGTGCTGGCCATCATCTTCGGACAATGAATGTGCCCAGGAAGTCATATTTTGGAGCCCGCGCTATACGCATGACACCTGGCGATTTTCCGAACATGTGTGTTGGTTCCACCAACATGTTTCATATTGTTTTGAGCCTTGTTCAAGCTGTCTTCGTGTTGTTCAAACTTCCTATGTCCAGACCTTTGCCGAACTCTCCCTCCTTGAGCTGTGGAACCTTTTTCCGTTTTTCGAACGCACTCGAACTTCCAGCTTTCCCTCCACGATATCCAGATCTCCTACGGTATGACTTTTCTCGATGTGGGGCCCCAGGGCTGCCGCCCCCTTCCCTGGGGCCGCTTGCGGCTTGGTTCTGCTTCTGGTGGCTTCCCGGTGCCCGAAAGTGCCCCCCCCCGGGGACCCAAATGAAGGTGCAGTAGAGGCCCATGCCAAGAAGCACCCAGCTTGCCTCCAGGGTGACCTGGGTTTCTTTTCTTCGATGGCTTTGCGATGGTAAGCGTGACGTTCCCACGCCAAAAAATCAAGACTGGGGTCTCGGGCTTGGGATTATCGTGGAAGGTCTCTTGTGGTCGGGCCCCTGTCGTAAAACTCCGCGGTGGCAAAATCACATCGTCGAAGGACCGCCCCCCCTGTCGTTGCCCGTCAGAGTGGGGTGCCCCCCTCCCGACTCCAGGCCTCCCAGTTGGGCCCCGAGCGGATGGGGTCGGGGGTGCGCGCTGTATCGCCCATGCATCGGCGATGCGGCCCGATGCGGGGCCCGATTTTCCCCACGCCCGCGTCGCCGATGCATCGCCGACGTCGCCAGTGCATCGCCGATACATCGCCGATGCCCCCCCTGGGCCGCGCACGTGCCGCCGGTCATGACTTGCACCCCCCCTTCCTCTTGGACGCCCCCCTCTTGGCCGCCCCCGAGGAGCAAACCCGAAGCACAAAACGAAGACACAACGAGCAACAACCTTTGCGTCCAGCCCTGGCCTGCGGGAGTCGGGCCTGTCCCCCTACAGCGGGATTTTCGACGAAAAATAAACATATTTAAACATAGTCAAAACATAGTCCAAACCTAGCCTGGGGACTATTTTTTGAATCTTTGTGGGCCTTTTTGGCGTATTTTTGATGTTTTTTTTCCGTCGAACTCCCCCTTGTAGGGGGTGCCGCCGCCCTGCCGTCTCCAGGCCTCCAGCGCCTGGAAACAGACATCGAGGAGCATCGAGGAGCGCCGAGGAGCATCGAGGAGCATCGAGGAGGTCGAGGAGGTCGAGGAGCATCGAGGAGCATCGAGGAGGTCGAGGAGCATCGAGGAGCGTCGAGGAGCATCGAGGAGCGTCGAGGAGCGTCGAGGAGCATCGAGGAGGTCCCGCCCTGGCTTGCGGGGGGGGGACCCCCCCGCCGGGGCGCCCACGCCCTGCCCCCCCGGCAGAGGTGCTGGCCGCCGCGCTCGGCGCCCGCGCCGCGCCCGCCGCGGGCCGCGTGGGGGTCCTCGCTGTGGCCCTGCGGCATCGGCGCCGCGGTCGGCGCCGGCGCCGGGGCGCGCTTCGCCGCGCAGGCCGGGGCGGGGAGGAGGAGGAGGAGGAGGAAAAAGGAGGAGGAGGAGGAGGAGGAGGAGGAGGAGGAGGAGGAGGAGGAGGAGGGGGAGGAGGAGGAGAGGAGGAGGAGGAGGAGGAGGAGGAGGAGGAGGAAGGAGGAGGAGGAGGAGCGAGGAGGAGGAGGAGGAGGAGGAGGAGGAGGAGGAGGAGAGAGGAGGAGGAGGAGGAGGAGCAAAGATGCGACGGCTCACGCTTGCCTGCGTCGGCGCCAGGAGCAGGGGGAGGAGGAGGGGCATGAGCATGGGCATGGGCATGGGCATGAGGCAGCAGCATCAGCAGCAGCAGCAGCAGCAGCAGCAGGAGAGGGGGGGGCCCACGGGCAGCGGCCCCGGGAGCCGAGGCTCAGTTTTGTCCAGTCCGGCGAGTTTTGTTGTTGTTGTCGTTGTTGTTGTCGTTGTCGTTGTCGTTGTCGTTGTCGTTGTTGTTGTTGTTGTTGTTGAATATTATTCCTTCTAAAGAATTATTATTGTTGGGACCCCTGGTGCGCGACCTCTGCGCCGCGCCTAGGCCGCAGCTACATTTTCATCATTTTTTCGCGAAAGCTTCAGAAAAGTGGATTATGTCCGGATCCGGTTTTTTGTTACGTTGCGTTTTCCCTTGCAAAAAACACTATAAAATGAAAATTCTTGTTCTTACTTGATCAAATTTCAAGAATCCCTTGCAAAAAATGAGGTAAAGTGGACATTCGCGCGCGCAAGACGAAATCCTTCCAAAACCTTAGGTTTCGTAACGATTTTAACATAAAAACATCAAAAACCCAATGGTTTTTTAAGAAAAAATTGTCAAAATGTCCTTCCGCGCGCGCTGTCCGAATCCCACGAAACCAATGGTTTTTCAACATTTATGTTACATGAGCTCGCGCGAGCTACTTTTTCTTGTTCTAACATAATCAAATTTCAATAATCCCTTGCAAAAAATAAGGTAAAGTGGACATTCGCGCGCGCAAGACGAAATCCTTCCAGAACCTTAGGTTTCGTAACGATTTCAACATAAAAACATCAAAAACCCAATGGTTTTTCAAAAAAAAATGTCCAAATTTCATCCCGCGCGCGCTGTCCGACTCCCACAAAACCAATGGTTTTTCAACATTTATGTTACATGAGCTCGCGCGAGCTACTTTTTCTTGTTCTAACATAATCAAATTTCAATACTCCCTTGCAAAAAAAAAGTAAAGTGGACATTCGCGCGCGCAAGACCAACAAAAAACACGACGATCTCAGGAACTTGCCCCAAAAATGTGACCAACTCCGCTCTCTCTGTCTCTCTCTCTGTCTGCTCTCTGTCTCTCTCTCTGTCTGTCTGTGTCATGTATTGTATGTCACAATTGCAGGATGCTGGGCACACGCGCGCCCCGAATAAGTGACCAAGTTCTGTGGGTGTGTACCCCACGCCAGTGTAGTAGCCACGGTCGTCCGCACGCCACGAAGTGAAGTGTCCCAACGTCATAGGGCGGGAAGCTGGGTTTGGGTGGTCGCGAAGAGTCGTTTGGATATTTGGTAGAGCTTGAACTGCCCCCCCACGAAGTGGGGGTATTGTCTCGCGTCGCATGAAAACCCTGGCACTGGTGAGAACACTGAGCGTTCGGGTAAAATGATTGTTGTTGTTGTTGTTGTTGTTGTTGTTGTTGTTGATGATTTTTCGGTTTCGGGGACCGCCCGCTGTCCGGCCCAGGGGCCATCAGGCGTGGATCCAGGACGAGGAACCACGCCCGGGGAGCGGGTCGGGACCTCTGGGGCCGCGGGTGGAGAAAATCACATCGGTGAATGCCTGGGGACAGGTGGGGGACAGACACAGGGGGGATACACCGAGTCCACAATCGCACTTCGAGAAAACGCCATAAACACAAACTTTGGCGCTCCGCGTGGAGTTCTTGTAGTCGCGCTGGGTCCCCCCGACGGCGCCTCCCGCGCCGCCCCTGGCGCGCGGAGCGCGCCAGGTAGGGGGGTCCAGCGCAGATCCAAGAAATCGGCGCGGACGGTCGAAAGTTTGTGTGTTGTGCATTTAGTTCTTCTTCTAAGTAGTGGTCCGATAGCCCCTACCTGCCCAGGGACATGCGGATTCCCTATCGCGGGCCTATCGCCGATCTATCGGCGATATGTCGCCGATTCCAGGTCGATGGTTCCCCCCCTCTGCCTATCCGCCCCTATCGTTGCCCCATCAGAAGGATGAGGGTCGACGTTTTTTCGACAGGGTGCGAGAGCTTCTGGGAGCTTTCGAGGGAGGAGGAGGAGGAGGAGGAGGAGGAGGAGGAGGAGGAGGAGGAGGAGGAGGAGGAGGAGGAGGAGGAGGAGGAGGAGGAGGAGGAGGAGGAGGAGGAGGAGGAGGAGGAGGAGGGAGGAGGAGGAGGAGACGCTCGGGGTGGTCTCCGTCGGCGGCGCCTCGTCGAAGGCTCTCTCTCTCGCTCTCTCCAGGGGCGTCGGGGCCGCCCCGAGCGGCCACCGGAGACCAGAGCTGCGGTCGGAGCGAGGCAAGAGACCGAGGTCGGCTCGGGGAGGGTACCTACCCCACGGTTTGTCGCGATTGTTGGACGCTCTCGTTCGGCAGCTGGAACGTATACATCACCAGTGGCGTTTTTTTTCAATCCCATGACTTTTGAGGGTCGGGGACGACGTCGGGGTGGTGTGATCGAGGTCGGCTCGGGGAGGGTACCTACCCCACGGTTTGTTGCGATTGTTGGACGCTCTCGTTCGGCAGCTGGAACGTATACATTACCAGTGACGTTTTTTTTGTTTTTTTTTCCCCCCCCATGACTTTTTGAGGGTCGGGGACGACGTCGGGGGTGGTGTGATCGAGGTCGGCTCGGGGAGGGTAACTACCCCACTGTTTGTCGTGATTGTTGGACGCTCTTTTCCGGAAACTGGAATGTATACATTACCAGTGGCGTTAGGGTCGGGGGCGACGTCGGGGTGGTGTGGTGTATACCTTTCCTCCGTTTTCCAAGGGCAACATCGGAACATGTATACACCATGATCCCGTATATTTGTGCATCCTGGAGGAGGGTACCCTCGAATGTTCTTCAGTCTGGCCAGTGGAGGGTTTCGTGTTCTTGAAGGATGTTCTTCTGTTCTGGGCCCGGCCCTGTGCCCCGAACAGGTGGGCCCGCTTCGCTGCGCAGGCCGGGGAAGGAACACCGCCATCTCCTTGGCACCGCTCGGACGTGCGCCTTTTCGAGAACCATCGGGGACCATCCTGGGCCATCGAGCCCCCCCCAAAACCGAAAAAATCATACGCGCGAAGCCGAGAGGTGCGCGGGAGCTGGACGCCCGAGCGCGACGGCAGGACTTCTCCCCCCGAGGTCCGGACGTCGCAGCCCGTCGGCACTCCTGGCGCTTTTTTTCTTCGCCCGGCTTGGGGCCCCGGGGCCATCACTCGTGCGGGTTGGAGGCTTCGAAATGGGCACCAACACCAAAACAGGAGGGTGCGCCCACAGGGGGAGGATGATCCTAGATTTCGGTGTTGGTGGCAATGTTTCGGCCGCCTGGGGTGCCAGAGTATTACCACCATCACCGAGATCGGGATCATCTCCCCCTGGTGGAGTCGGGTCGGGCGAAAGGGGGGGATTGGGAAAGGGGGGGTTACGAAATTTGCTGCATGCAACTGGTTTCGGCCTCACCGAGGGGCCCATTCCTCGATACATGGCCGCCTCCGGCGCCGGGAGGCGCCGGGAAAATCAGCTACGTGAGCTGATTCTCAAACCCCTTCTTTGCTATCCCCCCCTTTCGCCCGACCCGATGGAGGCACATCGCCGATCTTGGTGCTGGTGTCAATCTCTGGGCCTGCCAGCGGGGCCACAGCACGAGGGCGCGGCCGCTCCGGAGCGCTCCGCGCAGCGCTCTCCGAGCGTGCCGGAACGCCCCGAGAGGAGGCCGCGGCGCGGCGCCCGAGGCATGCTCCAGAGCCGCCGGGTCTCAGAGCAGGCAGACGTTGTAAACCTACATTGTAGACACACTTTGAATGCAGTGATAGGACTGTTAGAGTGTCCATTGTCGTGGCATCCACGAACTTGGCGAGAATGCGCAGGAGGGAAGGAAACACACGGGCACAATAATAATCGTCGGCTCCCAGGAAGATATGGGAAAATATGGGAAGGGGGTGGGAAGACAGAAACCCAGAAGTATGAGGAAATATGGGGATTCCTGTTCTTTTTTTTCCCAACCATCCTGTGGTGTTGGGTCCTCGTTTTGAAGAGACGGTGCCCCGCGTTCCCCTCCTTCCTCTCCTCCTCCCTCCTCCCCCTCCTTGCCTCTGCTCTCGGCACACCTCTCACGCGTTTCGTAGCCCCATAGGGAGCTCCACCGAAGGCCCCAGTGGGGGTGTTCGCATGCGGTTCCCCCACCCAGGGCAGCGTTTCGTGGCCCCATAGGGAGCTCCACCGAAGGCCCCAGTGGGGGTGTTCGGGGGTTCGCATGCGGTTCCCCCACCCAGGGCAGCGTTTCGTAGCCCCATAGGGAGCTCCACCGAAGGCCCCAGTGGGGGTGTTCGCATGCGGTTCCCCCACCCAGGGCAGCGTTTCGTGGCCCCATAGGGAGCTCCACCGAAGGCCCCAGTGGGGGTGTTCGCATGCGGTTCCCCCACCCAGGGCAGCGTTTCGTAGCCCCATAGGGAGCTCCACCGAAGGCCCCAGTGGGGGTGTTCGCATGCGGTTCCCCCACCCAGGGCAGCGTTTCGTGGCCCCATAGGGAGCTCCACCGAAGGCCCCAGTGGGGGTGTTCGCATGCGGTTCCCCCACCCAGGGCAGCGTTTCGTAGCCCCATAGGGAGCTCCACCGAAGGCCCCAGTGGGGGTGTTCGCATGCGGTTCCCCCACCCAGGGCAGCGTTTCGTGGCCCCATAGGGAGCTCCACCGAAGGCCCCAGTGGGGGTGTTCGCATGCGGTTCCCCCACCCAGGGCAGCGTTTCGTAGCCCCATAGGGAGCTCCACCGAAGGCCCCAGTGGGGGTGTTCGCATGCGGTTCCCCCACCCAGGGCAGCGTTTCGTGGCCCCATAGGGAGCTCCACCGAAGGCCCCAGTGGGGGTGTTCGCATGCGGTTCCCCCACCCAGGGCAGCGTTTCGTGGCCCCATAGGGAGCTCCACCGAAGGCCCCAGTGGGGGTGTTCGCATGCGGTTCCCCCACCCAGGGCAGCGTTTCGTAGCCCCATAGGGAGCTCCACCGAAGGCCCCAGTGGGGGTGTTCGCATGCGGTTCCCCCACCCAGGGCAGCGTTTCGTAGCCCCATAGGGAGCTCCACCGAAGGCCCCAGTGGGGGTGTTCGCATGCGGTTCCCCCACCCAGGGCAGCGTTTCGTGGCCCCATAGGGAGCTCCACCGAAGGCCCCAGTGGGGGTGTTCGCATGCGGTTCCCCCACCCAGGGCAGCGTTTCGTGGCCCCATAGGGAGCTCCACCGAAGGCCCCAGTGGGGGTGTTCGCATGCGGTTCCCCCACCCAGGGCAGCGTTTCGTAGCCCCATAGGGAGCTCCACCGAAGGCCCCAGTGGGGGTGTTCGCATGCGGTTCCCCCACCCAGGGCAGCGTTTCGTGGCCCCATAGGGAGCTCCACCGAAGGCCCCAGTGGGGGTGTTCGCATGCGGTTCCCCCACCCAGGGCAGCGTTTCGTAGCCCCATAGGGAGCTCCACCGAAGGCCCCAGTGGGGGTGTTCGCATGCGGTTCCCCCACCCAGGGCAGCGTTTCGTGGCCCCATAGGGAGCTCCACCGAAGGCCCCAGTGGGGGTGTTCGCATGCGCTTCCCCCACCCAGGTGCTCTCGCATGCGGTTCCCCCACCCAGGGCAGCGTTTCGTGGCCCCATAGGGAGCTCCACCGGAGGCCCCAGTGGCTGCTCTCGCATGCGGTTCCCCCACCCAGGGCAGCGCTTCGTGGCCCCATGGGGAGCTCCACCGAAAGCCCCCGTGGCGCAGTTCGCATGCGCTTCCCCCACCCAGGGCAGCGTTTTGTGGCACCATAGGGAGCTCCACCGAAGGCCCCAGTGGCGCAGTTCGCATGCAGTTCCCCCACCCAGGGCAGCGTTTCGTAGCCCCATAGGGAGCTCCACCGGAGGCCCGCCCCGGTGGCGCAGTCCGCATGCGGTTCCCCCACCCAGGGCAGCGCTTCGTGGCCCCATATGGAGCCCCACCGAAAGCGGCACCCACAACGCGTTACCAACAATTGCTTATGGTTGGGTCTTTCGCCAGGATATTTTTTTTGTGTATTTGTTTGTGTGTCCCAGGGCCCCTTCAAATGCGTTGGACTTGCAGCAGCGCGGGACGCCCTGCGTGCCCACGCCCGCAGGGCAGGCAGAGGTTGATTCGCGCGACGCCGCACGCCGGCACGCAGAGGGTCTGCTTGTTCGAAGGTGGACGGACCTCCTACCCTGGCGCGTCGATTCGCGAATTGGCCGTTGTCAGTTCGCGAGAGGGCCTCGCGGCCGTCATTTTTGCGGGTCCAGGTCCGTCGGTTTCGGTCCCAGGCGGCTTTCACGGAAGGGGGGTTTCCTAGAGGGAGGTTTGTCCACCGCCGATTCGTGTGCTTGTGTGAGTGTGTGTGTGTGTGTGTCCCGCGATTTCTTGCAGCTCGTCGCTGTGCCTGCCTCGGGGTCGGTCCTTGGCTTCCTTGTCGTCCACTGTGCTATCTCGTTCCCCCCCCGCCTTCTATTCCCTGTTGGCTCATGTCATCTCCCTTTCACCGCAGCTCGTTTATCAACCGTCCCCCCCAGCATCCGCGCCCGGATGGTTATGGCGGCTGGCTGCTGCGTGGTCCTAAGGGGGTACTGGTGGCTCGGATGGTTAGACGCGCGCGTATTTGCTGTTTTCGACCTTCTACGCTACGCCTCGACGCTGCGCGCGAGGCCGCGACACCAAACGTGTATATGTATGTGTGCGTGTTTGCTGGCATCTGGTACGTCTTCTTAGCTCGTGCGCTTCATTGTCTCTTGCTTCTATGGTGATTCAGTGGCCGCCAACTCGCATCAGACTGCTTGCGCTTCAGTTTACCTCGTGTGGAGTTGCCTTCCCGGTTCTCTGGCCGCTGCACGTTTCGCCTGGATTTGCAGTGTGTTTCGACGATGCCGATCGCAGAAGACACCTCCATCAGCCGTCCGCGCCTAATTACCCTCTGCGCCGCCGACTGAACAAGTGTATGTGTGTGTGTGTGTGTGTCTGTGTGTGTCTCTGTTTGTGTGTGTGTGTGTGTGTTTGTGTGTGTGTGTGTGTCTGTGTGTGTGTGTCTGTGCTTGAAAACGTGAATGTGTGAACGTGTGACTGTGTGATGTGTGCATGCGTGCATGTGTGAGTGGGTAGATGCTTGGCTGCATGATGTGAGAATGTGCAAACGTGTGAAAAAGCATGAGTGTATGTGTGAGTGAGAAAGTGAGTTAGTGAGTGAGTGAGTGAGTGAGTGAGTGAGTGTGAGTGAGTGAGTGTGTGTGTGTGTGTGTGTGTGTGTGTGTGTGTGTGTGGGGTGGTGGCCTTCCGCTCGTGTATTGGAAGCTGTGCGCCCCTCCCCGCCTTTAGCATTTCCTTGCATGCGTTTCGGACTCATCTGCGCGCATATCCACCTTCGCGGCCCCCTTACCTGCCGGCTCCCATCCAGTCCGCCCCTTTGCTGCGCCAGGTGCTGGTTCGCCTCAGCGTCGCTCCCGCATCAGCGCTCGCGACGGTGTAGCCACTTCGCCGCTGAAGGAGACGTGCTTGTGTGTGTGTGTGTGTGTGTGTGTGTGTGGGGGTGTGTTTGTGTGTTGTGTGTGCGCGCGCGTGTGTGTGTGTGAGTGTGTGTGTATGTGTGCGTGTGCGTGTGTGTGTGTGATGGTGGCGGGCGTCGGTATTCAGAGGTATCTGACGACAATAGCTCAAGGTCTATTCTTAATTGCCGATGGCGCAGTCATGCGCTTTCGGAGATCTGCACCGGTCTTTCTGGATCGGCGCTGGACCTTCTTTGGCGGCGCCTACGGCTTCGCGCGTGCTCCGCTCGCCAGTGAGAGGGCCCAACGCCAAGCCGAGGATTTCGAGCGGACTGCGGGCAGTTTACAATTCTGCTTGCAGGTCCTGCGTGATGACGGGGGGGGCCCGGCTCACCCGACACTTTTGGCACCGTGAAGAAAAAAGCACACGGCCAGAGGTTCTTGGTAGTGTTTGGCCCCTGGGGGGCTTCGGTCAGGCCGCGGGGCCGTTTTCGGGAAGCCTGTCCCAGGGAAGGGCTCCAGATTTGAGGGGGGGGTCCTCAACGGCCCCTTAGTTGCCACCGCGGGCCCAACAGTTTCACGCAAGGTGCGCGTTTCTGCAGCCCACGTGTATATCCCCCTCGTAAGCGAACGCCCCAAACCCTTGGGGGCCCACGTTGTGAAGAGTCACGACTTCTGACGTCTTGGTCAAGGGAGGGGGGCGTCGCCCCCAAGTCGCCGATTCCTCGCGAGTCGGGTCTTGAACCTCCCACCGAAACGCGCACGAGCGGGTGCTATTTCGCCGTCGAGGCGAGGGCCCATCGTCCGTGACCGCTTGCGATCTTGCTCCCAGTGCGTCCACTCGCCGTTGGGGTGCCAGACACCCCCGCTGGGGTTTCACCTGGCTGAGGGCACCCTTCAGACTCCGAGCCCCAGTCGGTCTTTCAGAAGTCAGCCCTGCGACGGGCAGGCTTCACGTGTGCATCGCCGATGCCATGCATGCTCGATGCCTTCTCTCCCCGAGCGACGCGAGGGGCGGACGACACGCAAAGCGAGCGAAACGAACCGCAAGCGAAACGACTTGCGAGGGAAACGACCACTTCACCGCTTCCCTCGGCGGCGAGCGAGGGGGGCAAGTGGGAAGGGGCGGCCCCTCTCAGACGGCTCGGAAGCCCCCCAGCCTTCTGAGAAGCTTTCCAAGCCTTCCCCGAAGACACAACACATCGCTCAGAAGGCGCGAGGGCTTCTGAGAAGTCCCGCCGCCTTCAGAGAAGGCCCTCTCCTTCTCATTTCCCCCCTCGCTCGCCGCTGAGTTCAGTTTTCGGGTTATAACTCGGGTCTCTGGCGGCCGTTCGGAACGATCCGGGCATCCCCGGAACGCTCTCGGCGAGGCACAGCCGCTGGAACGCATCCCGAGGGCGGCAAACCGCCAAGAAACGACGAGAACGCCCGACAACCTAGAACCTCGAAGTTCGAACCTTGGACAGGCTCCGCGCGCGGGGCGACGCCTCCTCCTCGCTTCCGACTCCCCCCCGTGCCGTGCGCCCCTCGGCAGGGCGGGGCCCGGGCCTCGCTCGCGGCGGCCGCCGTGCCGCAGCCCGGTGCGCTCGCGCGCGGGAGGGGATGGGAGCCTGCGCGCGGGTGCCTCTCGGTGCCGAGCCGGCGGGCGGAGGGACGCCCGCGTATTGTTTTTATGAGGGAACCTCAGGGGGGCCGATACCAGCCTCCCTGGGATAGCGTAAATTCATATTTCGGATGGACATGTGGTCAGAATCGTATATGATTTACATACCCGAAAGGGGCGGTGCCGAGCCGGCGGGCGGAGGGACTCCCGAACTGATCGGGTATGGCCAGGACCCCGGGTAAGGGGACCCGGTGAGTGGTGGGGCACCGGAGTCCGTGGACTGGCCAGAATCTCTGAACCAGGTTTGCCATAGCTGGTGCTTTTTTCGGGTGACGGCAGTTCCGCTTAGTGGAAATGGGACGGGAGGGCGCCCCCGGTACAGATCACTTGGGTGCCGAGCCCGCGGGCGGAGGGACTCCTGGATCAAGCAGTGGCGAAGCGTCCTGGCTCGCCTATAGCCCTACCAAATCATGTTCTAAGAGCCTTGTGTGGTCTCCACGAAATGTTCTTAGAACATTTCTGGCGGAGTCTGTCTTGTTTGCACACATCGGGTTTATGTTCTAAGAACCTTGTTTTTGTTCTTAGAACATTTTTTGGGTTCTAGGAACAGTTCGTGGTTGGACTATAGGAATGCCGGGACGGTCGGTCCCTGCTCAACCAGACTGAGGCCCTGGACCTCCCAGATCGGGAGCCTTGAGACGGGGTTCAATGCAAACGGGGGTCAGCCAGGGCACCTGATCCTGCAGGATCCTGCAGGGCCAGCGTCGCGTTGACCCGGGTCTGGGTGCAGGATCCTACAGGATCCTTCGCATTGACCAGGTGCAGGATCTCGCAGGAGCTTGCAGGATCCTGCAGGCCTGACTGACTTGGGTCTGGATTGACGCGGGTCAGAAAATCTCCGACTAGATTTGAGTCGGGCCTGTCCCTCTACAGGAGGAATTCTCAAAGACAGTCAAGGAATAATCTGGGGACGATTTTCCTTAGATTTTCCGATTATTTTTGGGAATCTTTTGACTTTTCGGTTTTTCCCCCCAATCCGCCTGTAGGAGGACATGCCCGACCCAATCCTAGTTGGGACCAGAGCCGATGGGGTCGGAGCTCGCGCCGCATGGTCGACGTCGGCGATGCCTCTGTGCGGGTGCCTCGGTGCCGAACTGGCGGGCGGAGGGCGGACGGAGACGTTTTTCCGTGAGTGTTTGGGCGTTTCCATTTGTTGAACATTATTCCTTCTAAAGAATTATTATTGTTGGGACCCCTGGTGCGCGACCTCTGCGCCGCGCCTAGGCCGCAGCTACATTTTCATCATTTTTTCGCGAAAGCTTCAGAAAAGTGGATGAGCTCCGGATCCGGTTTTTTGTTGACGCTCGTTTTCCCTTGCAAAAAATAATAGAAAATGAAAATTCTTGTTCTTACTTGATCAAATTGCAAGAATCCCTTGCAAAAAATAAGGTAAAGTGGACATTCGTGCGCGCAAGACGAAATCCTTCCAAAACCTTAGGTTTCGTAACGATTTTAACATAAAAACATCAAAAACCCAATGGTTTTTTAAGAAAAAATTGTCAAAATGTCCTTCCGCGCGCGCTGTCCGAATCCCACAAAACCAATGGTTTTTCAACATTTATGTTACATGAGCTCGCGCGAGCTACTTTTTCTTGTTCTAACATAATCAAATTTCAATAATCCCTTGCAAAAAATAAGGTAAAGTGGACATTCGCGCGCGCAAGACGAAATCCTTCCAGAACCTTAGGTTTCGTAACGATTTCAACATAAAAACATCAAAAACCCAATGGTTTTTCAAAAAAAATGTCCAAATTTCATCCCGCGCGCGCTGTCCGACTCCCACAAAACCAATGGTTTTTCAACATTTATGTTACATGAGCTCGCGCGAGCTACTTTTTCTTGTTCTAACATAATCAAATTTCAATACTCCCTTGCAAAAAAAAGTAAAGTGGACATTCGCGCGCGCAAGACCAACAAAAAACACGACGATCTCAGGAACTTGCCCCAAAAATGTGACCAACTCCGCTCTCTCTGTCTCTCTCTCTGTCTGCTCTCTGTCTCTCTCTCTCTGTCTGTCTGTGTCATGTATTGTATGTCACAATTGCAGGATGCTGGGCACACGCGCGCCCCGAATAAGTGACCAAGTTCTGTGGGTGTGTACCCCACGCCAGTGTAGTAGCCACGGTCGTCCGCACGCCACGAAGTGAAGTGTCCCAACGTCATAGGGCGGGAAGCTGGGTTTGGGTGGTCGCGAAGAGTCGTTTGGATATTTGGTAGAGCTTGAACTGCCCCCCCACGAAGTGGGGGTATTGTCTCGCGTCGCATGAAAACCCTGGCACTGGTGAGAACACTGAGCGTTCGGGTAAAATGATTGTTGTTGTTGTTGTTGTTGTTGTTGTTGTTGTTGTTGTTGTTGAACTCTCATTCTTGAAGAATAATTATTGTTGATCCCCCCCCACCGGTGCACATTGATTTTTTTCGATTGAAGTGCCACCCCCGGGGCTCGCACCTTGTTTTTTTCTCAAGGAAAGTCTTCCTGCTCAAACTGTGCCCCTGCCCCCCGGGCTACAACAACAACGGCTCCCGCCTGAGACTTCCTCGATTTTTACTCAGGACCCCCCGCTCCCGCCTGAGACTTCCGCGCAATTTACTCAGGAAAGGCGCTCCCGTCTGAGACTTCCTCGCAATGTAATCAAGACCCCCGCTCCCGCCTGAGACTTCCGTGCAATTTACGTGGGAACGGCGCTCCCGCCAGAAACTTCTTCGAATTTTACTCAGGACCCCCGCTCCTGCCTGACATTTCCGCGCAATTGACTCAGGAACGGCGCTCCCGCCTGAGACTTCCTCGCCATTTAGTGAGGACCCCCGCTCCCGCCTGAGACTTCCGTGCAATTTGCTCAGGAACGGCGCTCCGCTTGAGACTTCCTCGCAACTTAGTCAGGGCCCCCGCTTCCGCCTGAGATTTCCTCACAATGTACTCAGGACTGCGCTCTCGCGTGCGACGTCCTCACAAATTATTCTGGAATTGCGTTTCGGCGCTCAGGAACCACGCACGCGCCAAGGACGCCTTCACAACGTGGTATCTTCCCTCTTCCTTCGTCCTTCCCCCTCCCCTTCCTCCCACTCTCCCTCGTTCTTCCCCTCCTCCTCTTGCAGGGCCCGCGCCAATTCCAATGGCGGGCAGAGAGATGTACGCCCCCGAAGGATTGTCCGCCCGTTCCGGTTTGCCCGTACGTCTAAGCCCGCCGGCCCCAGCAAAGAGAAATAATCCCCCCGAAAGGGGTGTGATCGAAGACGAAGAGGGCGGGTATCGAGGGTGTAGGGTATACGTGTTGAATGACTCGCGGGCAAGTAAGAGCGTACAGCCTTAAAATGGTTGTTGTTGTTGTTGTTGTTGTTGTTGTTGTTGTTGTTGTTGTTGTTGTTGTTGTTGTTGAACATTATTAATTCTAAAGAATAATTATTGTTGGGCCCCCTGGTGCGCGCCCCCCCCGCCGCGCCTAGGCCGCAGCCACGTTTTCATCATTTTCGTGAGGAAGCCTCAGGTAATTCGAGGTGATCAAGATCCGGTTGTTTTGTTGTAATCCGTTTTCCCTTGCAAAAAACACTATAAAATGACATTTCTTGTTCTAATATAATCAAATTTCAAGAATCCCTTGCAAAAAATAAGGTAAAGTGGACATTCGCGCGCGCAAGACGAAATCCTTCCAAAAGCTTAGTGTTCGGAGCGATTTTAACATAAAAACATAAAAAAACCAATGGTTTTTCAACAAAAAAATGTCAAAATCTCATCCCGCGCGCTCTTGCGGATTCGTAGGAAACCCAACACTTTTTAAACATTTCTGTCAAACGGGCTTTTGCGAGCAACTTTTTCGAACTTCTGCGACAACGGTTGCGCACCTGCCAGGGCCATCATCCCTGTCAAATAATACCATGCGGGACACATTCGTTTTTTCTTCGCGCGCGCACGCCGTCGTCGTCGGCCGCGGGGCCCTGAATAGTAGCCACGGTCGTCCGCATGCCACGAAGTGAAGTGTCCGAACGTCATAGGGCGGGAAGCTGGGTGTGGGTGGTGGCGAAGAGTCGTTTGGAAATTTGGTAGAGCTTGAACCGCCCCCCCACAAAGTGGGGGTATTGCCCGCCTCCTATGAAAACCCTGGCACTGGTGAGAACACTGAGCGTTCGGGTAGTGATTGTTGTTGTTGTTGTGTTGTTGTTGTTGTTGTTGTTGTTGTTGTTGTTGTTGTTGTTGTTGTTGTTGTTGTTGAACATTATTACTTCTAAAGAATAATTATTGTTGGGACCCCTGGTGCGCGGCCCCCTCGCCGCGCCTAGGCCGCAGCCACATTTTCATCATTTTCGTGAGGAAGTCTCAGGCAAAACGTGGGTGTCCGGATCCGGTTGTTTTGTTGTCCCCCGTTTTCCCTTGCAAAAAATAAGCTAAAGTGGACATTTCTTGTTCTAACATAACCAAACTTCAAGAATCCCTTGCAAAAAATAAGGTAAAGTGGACATTCGCGCGCGCAAGACGAAATCCTTCCAAAACCTTAGTGTTCGTAGCGATTTTAACATAAAAACATCAAAAAACCAATGGTTTTTCAAAAAAAAAGTGTCAAAATTTCATCCCGCGCGCTCTTGCGGATTTGTCGGAAACCCAACACTTTTTAAACATTTCTGTCAAACGGGCTTTTGCGAGCAACTTTTTCGAACTTCTGCAACAACGGTTGCGCACCTGCCAGGGCCATCATCCCTGTCAAATAATACCATGCGGGACACATTCGTTTTTTCTTCGCGCGCGCACGCCGTCGTCGTCGGCCGCGGGGCCCTGAATAGTAGCCACGGTCGTCCGCATGCCACGAAGTGAAGTGTCCGAACGTCATAGGGCGGGAAGCTGGGTGTGGGTGGTGGCGAAGAGTCGTTTGGAAATTTGGTAGAGCTTGAACCGGCCCCCCCACAAAGTGGGGGTATTGCCCGCCT